TGCCTGGCGGGGGGGGGAGCGGGGAGCTCTCCGCGGTGCTGAGCGCGGGACCGGGGCAAAAAGGGGCAAAATTGGGGGAAAAAAGGGGGAAAAAACAGCGGAGTTGGGAGCAACGCGGCAAACTCGGCGTTCGAGACATCCTTGGAGATCTACTGCACCTCAGGATACCTGACATGGTCGCTGCACTTCCTTACTCCAGCTTGGCCAGCAGGAAAATTGTCTTTTTTTTTTTTTTCTGTTTTCCCTTTTTTTTTTTCCCAGGGCTATTGGAAAAATGCTATCACTGCTAGCATCTATAATGGTTTAAAAAGAAAAAAACTCACAGAGAACACATACGGATATTTCCATGGCACCTCTGAGTGAGCTCTCCAACCCTGTGCAAAAGAGGGGGCAACACTGCAATGAGCTGCTCGGGTCTCTGCTCTATGAGGAAGTCTCCTGGCTGCAGAGAAAACCTTTCTACCCACTCTTCACTTCACGGGAAATCTCCCCAAAGTGGGGCCTTATGGAGACCTAGGGGGTCTCTATGGGGTCCTGCAGAGCCCAATGGGGTCTCTATGGAGTGCTAGGGGGTCCTATGGAGTTTCTAGGGGATCCTAGGGAGAATCCATGAGGTCTCTATGAGGTCCTAGGGGAAACCTATGGGGTCCTTTGGAGATGTATAAGGCCCTGTGGAGTCTCTATGGGGCCTAGTGGGTCCTAGGAGGTCTCTATGGGGTGCTAGGGGATCTCATGGGGTTTCTAGGGGGTCCTGAAAGGTCCTACGATGCCCTAGGGGGATTCTATAGGGTGTCTGTGAAGGCCTATTGGGCCCTAGAGGGTCTCTATGGGTACCCTGGGGGGTGGTTAGAGGAGGTCCTAGGTCTCTGTGGAGTGCTGGGGGGTCAATGGGGTGTATAGGGGATCCTAGAGGGTCCTATGGGTACCTATGCGGTCTCTCTGGGTCCTGTGGGGTCTTATAGGGTCATTACTGGCATTTCTATGGGGTCCATGGGCCCCTAGGGGTTCTTTATCTGGTCTCTATGGAGCCCTGTATGGGACCCTAGGGGGTCTCTATGGGGCAGAGAAGGCACTATGGGACCCTATGGGGTCCCAGTGAGGCCCTAGTGGTTTCTGTAGGGTATCTATGGGGCCCATGGTGTCTTAGAGAATTATAGGGGGTCTCTACAGGGTGCAAGAGGATCCTAAAGAGTCCTAGGAGCTCTCTAGGGGGTTGCTGTGGACTCTTATGGGGTCCTAAGGGGTCTCTGGGGCACTAGGGGGTTATGGGAGGTCTCTACAGGGTCCTCTATGGGCTCCTGAAGACAGCATGGGCTAGCTGGCAGAAGACACCTTTTGAGTTAGGTGCAATAACTACTCCTTGCTTTTTCAAAGCACAAGGAAAACTCATGAAAATCGAAGTCTAGGGTATCAGAGGGTTGTGTTCCTGAAAGAGAAACCCAAACCCTGCCCAATTACTTTCAGCAGACAACCTTTATGGATGCAGAAGCCCAGCTGGCACAGCACAAACACTGTAGTGATCAGTGAGACGGGGAAAGAAAAGGAAGCACAAGGGACTCTGGGTCCTCCCCTCCCCTTTATTACATATAGGCAGAAAACAGTGTTTTTCTCCCGTTTGCTTACAAAGGAAAGGAACACAGAGCTTCAAGTCACTTCACACAATTCCAGGCGCAGCTCGGCCGAACTCCCCTTCTCCGGCCGGAGTCTGTGCTCCGAACAGCGGGGAAGCCCCAGAATTCCAGCCCCACCTCCCTACTCGCCCATGCTGCCATCCACGTGGCTTGGGCAGCGGAGCTCGGCACAGGAACAAGGGCCAAAGGGATCACATTCCGAGCAGGGAGAGAGGCCAAGTGCACATTCCTCTCCCGAGGGAATTACTTTAGTCATGGTAGGTACCAGGCTTTGTGCTCTTCCACCTGCAAATAAAAAAGTGACCTGCAAAAGATGACAATTGCATCTTCCAATGAGTAAAGGCAGCACCCCAAAAGCCTCTTCAGTTCCTGCGTTTTTTTTTTTTTCCTCCCATTAGAAACATTTACAGGGTTTGGTTTGGGGTTGTTTTTGGTAACCCACAATTTTGCAACATCCAGCTTAAAGGCAAGGTTAAGACTGCTATATGAAACCATCCACCAAACGATGCATCGCCTTTTCCCCTACCCCAAAACACAACATGAGAGCTCCAAGCAGATCCTCCTGCAGCTCCCCGCAAGTTCTGCAAAAAGGGAAGATACAAAAATAGCAAACAGCTCAAATTTCAAGTAAAAGCAAGCAGAAAATTGTTTGGTAGTGCCTGCCAGCCTCTGTCAGCAGGGGCAGCATAAGGAACTCCTTCATTTGAAAATCTTTTGCAGGTCTCCCTTTTAAGGCCTTAGTGTCATTACAGAAAGAGGAATTAGTTTTGTCTTGTGCTTGCAATTGCTGCCCCCTAGTGCAGCACCAAAATCTCCTACAATTTAACACTTACAGTGTCTAGCTGTCCACGGCCGTGCAAAGTACACACAGGAAGGGTCTGAACTATCAAGAAGTGTTTAAGCTTGTTGCAGATAACTTATGTCAAGGACAGTACTTATGTGCCAAGTGTTTCAAACAACCACACACAGAGCCAAATGTTGAGCAACTGCAATACCGCTGCAACTCAGCTTCTCGACTTGAGCCACGGCAAAAAAAAAAGAGAAAAATGAAAAAGAGAAGAACAACCAAGCACTGTTATGGACATCGAAGAGTTTATCTTCACTGGGTAGAAGAGTGAGAACTGTGTTCCCAGAAGGAAGATTGGATGTTGCAGATGACTTGGGATAACAAGTCAAATAAACCAGTGCAGATGTTGGCAGAGATGACAAACACCAGCTGGGGCCAGTTCCAGAGAGTGGATTGTCATGGCAGAAGATCCTGTTGCTTAGTAAAGTGATATCCACAAAGAGGATGGGAGCACTACCCATCTCTCCCAAAGTTTAGTCATTAATTAAGGAACCTTAAGACAACTTGTCAGGCTGCAGCAACAGGGTAACTGTTGGGTCTTTAGAGATTCAGTCCCAGAGCTGTTTTGGGTTCACATGAAGCAGAGGGAGTCTTTTGTGCCAAATCTATAAGGAAAATTGCAAAAGAGAGGCATCAGTTTTCACCAGTAAGAGGATCCATCACATCCATGGTTAACACATAGTTTCAGAGCTCCCCAGTATTTCAATATTTGACTGCATTCTCTTGAAAGCCCATGCTTCGTGTTTGCTACGGAACGCTGACCTTTCTTCTGCTCTGCAGTTTGAGAATATCAGCTGCCCAAAGAAAAAGAAAACTACGTGGACAGAGTCTTGAAGAGCCATTAACAGAATGCTCAAAGAAAGATTTAATATCTTTATTTACCCTAGTCCTAGACACGACTGCTGCAATCGGCATGCAGTTTAGGCCCATAAACTCTGGTCCTTCATGGTTACTAAATAAAACCCAGTTTAGCACTTTTTTAAGTAGAGATCACACCTATAAGAAATGACCTCTCACCCAGAAGGCAAGACAGAAGATGCTGTTCATACCAAAAGGCATAAAAATACTGGTAGATTTTATCACTGTCCCACAAAATACCACAAGCTCAACCTGGCTTTGCATATATTTTGTTGAACAAAGAGCATCTAAACAAAGCACTGCCTCTTGGTAGAGCTTTCAGATTTCTCTGCAGAACATGGTAGGAAATACCATGGTAGGTACAATTTCTAGCACAAAGGACAGCCCTCAAGACAGAAGTTGGTAGAGAAGAGGCAACGCCACTGAGTACCTGGCAGGGATACAGTGCAACTAGAAAGGGGAAAGATTTTTGGCTCAGGCTACACCTCCGATGGACATCTTCCATTTTATAAGGTTGTCAAGGGATCCTAGTAGTAGCCAGCTAACATCCATACCTCCATCAGCAAGGGAGAGCTTTTCCAATTCAGCTTCAAGTTCAGCATCAGAAATGGCAGGATTCGGTGGCTTCTGGGGAACGGGAGGCAGATCTACAGGCTCCTTAGCAGAGTCTTGGAGGAGACTATCCAGCTCTTCCTCAAGTTCCTCAGTGTCCATCTCTGCCAATGAAAGAAAACATTCAGCTACAAGCAGAAATAAGTAGTATCTTCACAGCATATGATAAAACAGCAGGCAGAGAGCCTCACTGCAGATAATACTCAAGACACTGGTTGTTAACAAAGGTATTAACAGAGATATTACCACTTGGCATTCCCACTACTCATAAGAAGCAACTCCCCATGCTTCCCCCATAGGCAGTCAGAGACCTACAAGGGATTTGGAGATGCACAAATACCAATCGTCCCACAACCCCCTGTCAGAGAGGAGAGCTCCTTGTCAATTCTCATCCCTTCTAAAGGCACCAGTAGCTACATCCTCAGCGTTTCAGCAGCTGCCTGTGCTCCCAGGAAGGAGGGGGAAAAGCACTAGCATGTGGGACAACGGTTAGGGGAGAAAAGAGAAGATGGGCACATCAGGAGGCCCAAACACATACCTAGACCATTGATCCCCACTCCAGCCAGGGTCTGAGCTACTTCATCTTGAGTGTCACAGAGCTGAGGAGAAACACACAAAGTTTGATACAAAATACCAGGTGTTATGAGATTACAGGTCAGGCCATTTTAAGACCCTGTTCTTGCACATTTAGTTGCATTCCGGGTTCTAAAAGCCTGACTTGCATTTCTTTTTAATACACTGTGCAAAACATTTGCTAACAAGAGAGTTGTGCACTTGCACAACTATGGCTAACCCGGAGAACACAAAGTGCATCAGGTTGGTGTGCTAGCCAACAGTAAATGAAAATACATATAAACCAAATACAACCAGTTATTTGAAGATTTCTGCTCACTTGTTTAAAAAGATCAAGATTAAGTCAGTCTGCTCTGATGACATATGGAATAGAAACAGAACAGTGCCAGAAGCCTCAGTATTGGTATCTGGGCAAGTTTTCTATGTGCATCCACCCACTTCTTGCTTGTTTAATTAGATGTGCTCTTATTTCAGTACCTCTTGTATCTGATCCACCAGGTTCTCAGCCTTCTCCACTGTTACATCCTTCATAGACAGCTTGAGAGCTCCCACACCGGCTTGATAGGCATTAAATACCTTAACAAAGGGGAAAGATGCATAATGCTGAATGAGTAAGAGCAAAGAGCAGGCAGTGTGAGCTTCTCTCAAGATCCATTATCCAAGTTGAGCCTTCAGAGCAGTGCTAGTACAGGAGAAAATGGGGCCCCGAGTGGGTTTCCTCAAGGCAATGTCCCATGGTCAGCCTGGCTGTCTCCTGCAGCAGATAAAGCAGCCCCACCAGCTTGCTTGCACCCCAGAGACAAGAGCTCTCCTAAGCAAGTTAAACAGCACAAATGAAGAGTGGAGCTAACGTGAGAAATAGAAATCAAAATGAACACGCTACCATCTGGTCAGTCTGGGAGGCATAAATGCGATCCAGGATCCCTTGCACTGCATCCAGCTTGGAATGAAGCTCTTCGATGCGCCTTTCCGTCCTTCGCTTGGACTTCAAACATCTCAGCGCCTGCAGATATTACACACACAGGCTTGGATCACAAAGCAGCAGCAGCCAAAGGGAGTACATCCTTTAAGAACTACAATCCTTGTACAGCAAGGGACATACAACAGCTGGATTTGAGAGCTAGATATTTCTTTTTCTTTCCATCATACCGCTTCAGACAAATATATTCCTATCACCACATGAAGGAGCCCTTTGGCTTCAGAAACACACTTGCACACCACTAGGACAACACTACCAAATGCTAGGCACTGTCTGTAGTGATAAAGTCATTCCAAGAAGCTTAACTTGTTCTTTCCAAGTACAACAGTACTTACCAATTGCTTTTTCCCAGCTCTACAAGCACTCCGGGCATCCTCTTTACACCTGTACAGAGGCAACAAGGAAAAGGAGCTTATTCCTTTGCAACTTGCAGTTATTTACAGGTCAGCTGCCACCCTCACTACCTTGCTCTTACCCACAGGTGGCTGCGTACCAATATATTTTCACACAGACACCGTTAAGACATTGCTTTATTTTCACGGGTAGGCCTTGAATGCATTCCAAACATTTCCGTAACTTCCATATCCACTCACTGTGTTTTGTTTTCGTGTGGATACAAAGCAAGGATGGGAAAATGTGTCCTACTCCTCTACATAACTAGTGCATTTACCAAACAAGGAAGCATGACTGGCACTTAAAGAGGACAGCTTCATTCTTAACTATGTCACAGGAACATAAAGCTTCACATCGTCACGAAGTTCTTCCCACCACCCTTCCCCAAATTACTTCTCTGCTTCCTGGGAAAGGGACTCCACCTTCTGTGACAGCAGCTGCTCACTCTGCATCAACTGATACACGCCAATGTCCACATCGTTCATTGGGGAGACTTTGGCATGAAGACCTCGGGCAAACTTCACTATCTAAAGAAAGAGAACCACATTCCTGAGTCGCTTCTCTCCAGAATTTGTGCTTGCACTAGAAATATTTCCATTCTAACGGAAAGAAAAGATGCTTTTGCTTCAATAGAACACTCTGAGGGCCTAAAAGCTATCCTAGCACTTTCACAGATACTACCAGTTTGGACCCCAACTGCATGGGGCAGCAGCTCTGAAGTACAGAAACTACCAGTTTGGACCCCAACTGCATGGTTATGCTGTGCTGTGGGCGGTATGCAGCAGTGTCTCACTTCAAAGAACTTCAGCTCTGAAGTGCAGAGCAGTCAGGACAAACATGACACATTTGAGACCCCTGAGCCTGCATCCACTACAGTCACTGTCAAACAGGAAACATTTTCTTGAGAGCTGGAGCACTGATTTCAACTTGTAGCTACCAAATATGAAATTGCTCCACAAGAACTTAATTTTCTGCAAGTTTGCAAGTCCCTGTCAGGACACTTAACCAATAGTGAGTAGTTTTTCAGCTATAATGAAATGCAAGACAGGGATGATGCCACCCAAAAACAGTCACCTTTACCCTGTACCTTCTCTCCATTCTGTTCCAGGATTGTGACCCTCTTTTCCTTCTGCAGCTGGAGCAGCAACAAGTAGAAGGTCCTTTCATCAGGACAAACATTGGCACAAAGGGACCGCAGCTCCGAGAGGGCAACAACAGGGTGAGAAGAGAGCACAGAGTTCTGGTATAAGCGATAAACTTCCTCTGCCTTTTCCTGAAAGGAAGCAACAAAACCATCCGTTAGTTGATTCACGACTATTCTTTTTCCCACAAGGTTTGCTAAGGCCACCTCTACTTCCTCCCACACGCCTAAAGGTGGAAAATTAGAGGTGTCACATTAGGGGGGAACAAGAACTTCCAAAATAAGTTGGCTGTGAAATTCAGAAGGTGGTAAGTATTCATAACTCTCAAAAAATATCACCACTAAAGGAATGCAAAATACTACAGTTTTCCTCTGCAACCAGAATTACATACTCGTGTTCCCTGTGTAAACACCATGAAAAATACAAGCACTACAGTCAGCAAATCAGACACTGCTACATTCCTTGCTGTCCCATCGATTTAAGTCCAGTTTAAGCCTGCCTTTAGTAAACACTCTAGGTATCCAGAGTAATTTTGTATCATTTTTTTTCTCTGCCCAACGATAAAAGAACAATTTTCCTGTTTCAAGTGAGGGTCATGTAACTGGAGTTACAGTCCACTTAAAGACTAAAGAAGCAACCTTTTCTGCTTCCACCCACCTCCAAATTCCCCATCAAGCTTTTGGTGTTAGTTACACAACTCTGGAAAGGACCGCAGAACTACTGCAAAGACACTGTGCTCTGTCAGAGCAACTATAATAACAGCAACACATCTACAGAGTTCTTTCACATCCGCAAGTCCCAGTCATTTAGAGGCCACCTGCACACAAGAGCAGCGAGTTTGACGCTGTTTTTCAACGGAGTAACTTCAGGGTTTCTTTTTCTCCTTTTCTTTTCCCTTCCTTTTTTTTTTTTTTCTTGAGAAAAACCCTAGCAACAGTGAGGAAGCGACCCGAGGTCTCGATCGTGGCAGCACGGCGCCATCCACATCATAGAATCACAGAATGCTCAAGGTTGGAAGGGACCTTAGGGATCATCCAGTCCAACCCCTGCACACGCAGGGTCACTAGAGCACGTGGCACAGGGCTGCGTCCAAGCGGGTTTGAAGATCTCCAGAGAAGGAGACTCCACAACCTCTCTGGGCAGCCTGTTCCAGGGCTCTGGCACCCTCACTGTGAAGAAATTTTTCCTTAAGTTCCTGTGGAACTTTTGGTGCTTCAGTTTGTGGCCATTGCCTCTAGTCCTATCAGTGGCCACCACTGAAAAGAGACCAGCACATCGCAGCGAGCAGCGGCAAGTTGCATGAATCCACAGCACGAACGCGGATTTACCACTAACAACTGCTGCAGGAAAGGGCCTCTGACAGGAGGCAGCAGCAATTCAAGTCGTGTCTGAAAAGGCAGAGCAAAAGCCCATGCCCTGAAGCAAAGCAGCCTTTAATGAGGCACCCACGGGTTCAGGAGAGACACAACACGCTGGCCTGACAGCCAGGGACACGCGAGTCACTCGTTTCTCTCCCCAACACATGGCATTCAAGCTGCAAGTTTCTCTGCTTCCTCTTCCACAAGCCTGGGATGCACAGCGGTCTCGGAGCACACGACGGGACTTCCTGGAGAGCACGGCAAGCTTGCCAGCCGTTTCTTCCGGAAAAGTCATTACATTAATTTCAATGTCTATTTTTAACCACAAGTTATTACTCCCCCCATCCCTCTAAACACTTCTAAATACACTAGAAGTAGAGACAAGGATATTTTTTTATTCAGCCCTGACCTTTCACTTATGCTAGCACATAAAATCACTCATTATTTTAAGATGTGCAACCTGAGGGTGCTCTAGAAAACACTCACCTGTAGTAGCTCCACAAAAATCAGAATTTCCTCCTCCTCGGGCACCTTGCTGTCACCCAGCACGCTTGACAGAGTCCACTTGAGGGGTTTCAGAATAAACACCCCCACGCCCCATGAGATCCAGCTGCTGTCTACGCTGGCCATGAAGTCAGATTCTCTCTGCATTTTGCCACGTCTATAAAAAAGAAACGCACAGGTTACAGGATCCAGTGTGGCCAATCCCAAATCCTTACAGAGAAAGGGAAAAACAGGGGCAGTGAGGACCCTGGAGGGGACAAGGATTATCTGAAACTGTTCTGCACGCTGCACATTGATAACCCTGGTAGTGGCTAGTGGCTCATATGTGCAGGCCGGCCAATTACTATAGGCACTAAGGTGCACAGCTGAAACGCACAGGTTACAGGATCCAGTGTGGCCAATCCCAAATCCTTACAGAGAAAGGGAAAAACAGGGGCAGTGAGGACCCTGGAGGGGACAAGGATTATCTGAAACTGTTCTGCACGCTGCACATTGATAACCCTGGTAGTGGCTAGTGGCTCATATGTGCAGGCCGGCCAATTACTATAGGCACTAAGGTGCACAGCTGGGGTGCACAGGCTCGCTCTCAAAGTATTTTGTTTACAGTTTTCCCATCTTTACAAGTTTCTCCTCCACGAAACTCTTTGGGAAAGTCGCTTTTCCGCACCAAAGGCTCCTCGTGCTCTCCCGCACCCCCAGCTCTGACCACGACGCCAAGCGCCCCCTCC